AAGATTGTCTGCTGTAATTTGTTTAACACATTATTGGGAGACTTCTATGTATTAACAATACACAAGCTGGTTCAGACCAGTGCTCCACCTAACACAGTATTCTGTCTCTATCAATAGCTCTAAGCAGATACCCAAGGAAGAGGAGGAATTGTAATTACATGTGGTGCTGCCGTCTCCTCCAGCTTCATACTCTAACAACCTATGGCCATTTTTAGCTGTGTGAATTTCATGAGACTGTGAGGTTTTTACTATTAAATATTCCACTCTTGTGCTTTTTGAGTCTCTCTTGAGCTCCTATAAACTCTTCCATAAATAATAACATCCCCTGGTAAGTATTCCCTCAGCTCTACTATCCCATATGTGAAGAACAAACTTTCTGTTTGTTTGGACCCCAGCTCCCACAAGCTCCATTTCGTGGCCACCCATACCTGTTCTGGAAGAGGCATTCAATAACAGAGCCCCCTCTCTCTAACTTTTCCATACCACTCAAGAGTTTGTCAGCCTGTGTCCCATATCCCCACCCTCTTCCCAGCCCCTGAGTGCATGGATGTAACTAAATATTCCCTCAACTATTCTTTTTGCCAATGGCAGGACCTTCCCCATTATTTCACAGCTTCTTTCTTAAAACCTTCAGATTTTTCCTTAAAAAGTCCATCAAGACTATAACAATAACTCTTTTCTACATGCGTATGAGGCAACACTTCCAACCCCAGAAGCCATATGCTGGCTCTTCACATGTTGGCCTATATTATAGTTTCTGCTATTTTTTGTGATACAGGTGGATTTTTCTGGATTGGCACAGAATCTTTTTGTTTGTTTTTTAATTGTTTCACGTTTTCTACCCTCTTGTCTCTAAAACCAGGTTTTAGCTGGCTCATTACACACTGCTGTATATGTAATGAATACCATTTTGTCTTGGTGCTATGCTAGTGTTCATTATGTCTTGTTGTCCTCTCCTGTTGTTATTTCCACGTTGATCAGTTCCTCTGCTAACTTCCCTAGAAAGGATTCCTCCATAAAGTTCTCCCCAGTTTCCTCATTTATGAATACCATTGTAAAATCTAACTTATCTTTTCTTTAACATCCACGTCTCCCCAAGCTTTTATTTTGTACCATGGCCATCAACTGTCCCTACAGACTTTCTAACAGGTTTTTGCTCCTATTTGGAGTGTAGGAAGAATTATTTGGTAGTTTAGTGTTTTGTTGTTGCCCAACTCTTCTTGGCCTAATTATATTTTTGTATTTATCAAAGTTTATGTTCCCTTCTGTTATCTTCTTTTGAATGTGGTAAAGCTTTTTGTTGTGGTTTGAACTACTTCTTTTCTACAAGTCTGCTATCCTTCAGCTTTCTCCTAGCCACATGTAAGAATTTCATTCTTTTAACTCTCACCCCTAATTTCTTTTTTAACAAGTTTCACATTGTTCCCTTACTGGAGTTTAGCACAACTGTAGAGGATTCTTTGGCCTTTGTTGCTCCTTGTAGGAATGTTGTTTTTTTATGAAGTGGGGATTCCCCTGTGAGACTCTGAACCAGTTCTTGTGCATTGTTCTACGTCGAGCCAAGGACCGACTGCGCTTCATCTTGAGGGCTCATACTGTGAAACATAACCCCCTCATCATAATATCATTTGAACTTCACTGTGAGAATCCCAGTGCTGTTTTTTACTGTTGTTGTTCTTTTATTGTTACTACACATTTATCTGCTTAGTAATCCCTTTCTTATAATCAGCATTAAACTAGGACACTAGTAACGTTACAATGCAAGATTCATAAAGATACACAAGAACCATGTGGAGATAAATCAAATAAATGATTTAGAAAGACATCTTTCTTCTCTCTCACTCTCTCCAAATTTTGAATAAGCAGTGTCTGGTCACTCAAGGAAAAAACTGTCCTGCTTAGGGAAAGAAAGGTATCCAAATCTTCAAGATACGATAATGCTGTGTGCTGCAGAACACACTTTCACGTGATGCAGTTTCACTTCATTTATCTAACTGAAATGCTGTTTGCTGTTTTCTCTCTGGGTGTTGGGACAGCATAGGAGCCTAAAACGTGCTTTGAGTCATCCATCAGAAGACTCCCTGTGTCTTAGTTGATCATACAGAAGTTCAGTGAGGATTTAGTCAAAGGTGGGTGCCGAAAGTTGCATGGTCAATCTTTCAACACTAGCCTTCCTGATGAAACATGGTCTTCCATCAGATAGTACACTGGTTTGGACAGCTTTGCAACATTGCTTTTAACTAGAGCTGATCTGATAATGAAGCAGCAGGTCAGAGAAGAAGACTCAAGTGTTGTAGGACTGTAGCTGCTTTATTTTAGCAACAGCTGGAAAGCTGTTCCAAAGAAGATGCTGTGTAATATTTTCTTAACAAAGAAACACGAGATGTAGTTATATTGAAGAGTTAAAAAGTTAGAACGTTTCTGTTAAAAAGTTAGAAATACGGGAAACCTTCAAGGGTCTTTTCTTCCTAATACTTCAGTTCCTGAAACACTGAGGAACTCTACTTGTTCTTTATTTACTTCACTTCCCAGAGCAGTTATTAAGCTCCATGAACCTCATTATTGTGACCTTTTAAAAATAATGTTCTGCAGTTTTTTGAAAGTATTGTATCACTCCCAAACTCAATCAACTCTTGTAATTTTCTAATGTTGACAGTCAAGGTGCAGTGTTTAGTCATATGTGTCTCAGGTCTTACCTTACAGTTTACTTTGCCTTCAATGAAGAAATAAATAATTCTTTGTTTTACAACCATTCTAATTTTTATTTATTTATTTTTTTAGCTTTATCTGCAGAAATTAATTTTGCATTAAAATATACCTGTCTGAAGCTGCCACATCACTTTTCCTGGATTCTGCTGCTGTTACTTACCAGATTCAATAAATTACACAGAAAGAAAAGTGTAGTGCTTTAAATCCAGATAATGCTGTGGAAGAATAAAAGTAAGGGTGGCACAGAAAATATCAATACTATGTTAGAAAAACAAATGTAAAAGGGATTTGGTAATGCCACACCTGAAACTGTCTTTTAGAAATAGTATTAACAAGTTAAATATTTACACTAGGTGGAAATACAAACAAAATGGAAAGGATTATTTCAAGTAATCAAATTAGTTTAATCTTTCAGTGTCATCTGTCATAGTAGCTGTAGCGTTGCGCGTACATGCAAACACTTCAGATGTATACTTTACACTGAAAATTTTAATGTAGGAGTGCTACAAGAAAAAAAAAATCATGTTAATCATAAATATCTGGGATATCACAACAAAAAACATTCTGTCCAATAACTTTATTCAGTTTAATTGGTAATATTTTAAAGAAGCAGAAGACATTTTCACTTTCCTAATCTTATAACCATGGGTTCTATAAACTCTTATTAAAATTAAAAGAAATAAAAAGCTTTGGTCATATTTAAGAGTAGGCTCCTTAAATCTCTCTGAGCAATCCACACACTGTTGTACCAATGGCTATCCAGCACTGACACCTCAAAAATGTTAGGCTGAAGATACCTCAGCAAAGGAACACCTTAGGAAAATATTTATATCAAATTGTAATGGTTTTGTAAGTGGCAGTAGGTTGCTTCAAGGAGGAGGGTGCTTGCTAGTAACAAATACTCACTGATGCCCCCATCGCCCCCAAAATACCTGGGGAAGGGCAGGGTGGGAAGAAGGGTGCTTGCCCTTCATCTTGCCCTACAGATGATGCCAATTGTAGCTGTGACACCACAACATCAGCAGCTGTGTAACCCCCTCCAACAGCTGTGAATTTGATGCACATGGTACAGCGAGAGGACTGTGACTCCCCCACAAAGGGGCAGTGGTTTCTGTCAGCGGCCTGTATGGAAATGGAAGTGGTAGAGGAAAGGGGTCCGTGGTAGAGGAATGGTGGCAGCAGGCAGAGCTCATCCCTGTCCTTCTCCTCCTGCTGCCTGTCCCTGTGGCACCCTCTCCTTCCTCTCTGCTGGCACTGGGCAGCCTGGGAGCATGGAGGGCGGCTGCCCTGTTGCCACCAGGGAGGAGGCCGCCACCAGTGGGCCCTGCGCACCCAGGCGGGCGGCACATCATCCCTGTGGGGGCCATTGCCTGCCCTCCCCATCCTCAGCCCTGCACACAGCAGCCTCTTCTGCTTCCTCTGTGGCTGAAAATGAACTGGGTCGGAGGCAGCCGGTGAGTGAAATTTCAAGAGAAATGGCTCCTGTTGGAGCACTGGAGCTCTGCGTTTCAGGCCCAGTGTCCCCTCAGAGACCCACAGGGCCGTGGGGTGTGTGGCAGGCCCCATGCCCCCTCACAACAGGGCGTATTTCAGAATCACTGAAATATTAAAATAATCACCAGTAGACTGGTAACATTAAAGAACAAGTATGTTCAGTTATTGAATAAATATTCAGTTTCATTGGGTGCCAAAACACCTGCCTATCAGAAATTTAAACCCCACAGGTTCTGTCAGCATTTGAAAGTAGCTTTGCTAAACACCATTCTGCAGTCATCCTGACAGCATCTATAGAATCAAACTAAAATAAGGCTTTATGCATCTGGAAGTCTTTCCAGAAAAATGAAGTTTCTGAAAGCTGCTGTGGTGGGTCAATCTTTGCTGGCCGCCAGGTGCCCACCAAGCCTTCCTCTCACTCCCCCTCCTCAGCTGGACAGGGGGAGAAAATCTGATGGAAAAAATTTGTGGGTTGAGATAAAAGCAGTTTCATGAAAGAAAAGGTCGTATGTGGAAGCAAAAGAAAATATAATATTCTCTACATCCCATCAGCAAATGATGTCCAGCCACTTCCTGGGAAGCAGGGCCTCAGCACAAGTAGCAGTTGCTTTGGAAGAGAAACACCTTCATAACAAATGTCCCCCTCCTCTAGCCTTTTATTGACACCATATGGCATGGTCATTTTGGGTCAGCTGTCCCAGCTGTGTCCCCTCCCCACCTCTGAAGACTACAGCCTTTGGGCTTCTAGTTCTCAAATAAAAGTGCTAATCCTATTGACACAAACATTGCAGCTGTATTCACCACGTTCACAATAGTGACCCAGAGCTCCTATTTTATGCAGCGTCCTGCAACCAATCAATTTAAAACTATGCTTAACAAGTGATACATGTATTTTAAAGTATACCTGTCTCCTGTGCAGCACAAACAACAGCAGCTCAATGAAACTTGTAGTAACAATCTTTTTTATTTTTTTTTTTATTTTTATTACAAACAAAATGTTCACAGTATGCTGTAAAGTTCTGAAAGGTAGGAAGTTGTGCAGTGCTCCTTTGCTTTCTTTGCTAATGTGCTTTTGTAACTGTGTTGCAGCATGACATAGAAAATTAGAAGAATTAAATATATTGATGTAGATTTTATATAATGTTTTACGAAATTAAGAATTCATGATTTCTTGCATTACAGGTTAAATGCCTAAAAGCTTTTCCTTCTGAATTATCAATATATTTGATAACCTTTCCAGAGTAAATCAGGATCAGTCCAAGTGACTTCAACAGAGTTATATTGACTTTACTGCCTGAAGGTTTGATCCATTGTAACAGAACAGGATAATCTGTGCCCAAAATTCTTAATAACATTGATGTGTAACTCAGGCCATGACTCAAGATTACACTTTTACAATTAAAAGAATAATTATTTGCATCTTTCAGGAGCAGAGTCATATTAAAGCAGGAAAGGAGAAAGCAAAAGGTAATGTAGTAAAAGGTAGTGTAACACTTGTAACCTGTTTGCCTGACTGTGCTTAGCTTTTAGAACAGAATTAATTTCCTAGGTTTATTACACTGAATTCCAGCAGGAAGAGGAGGGAGTAGGAGAAGGCATGAATGAATACATGAATGTGCCCAATTTAAGTTTTACTGAATTACTTCTGTTACTATATTTTGGTGGTATGTGCTGACACACAGGATTGTTTCGAGCCTCACAGCAACAACCACATGGTCAGCTAGCCTAACACGTATACACAGCAGTTTTTTCTGTGCTACGTAAAAGAATGTTAGGTTCATTGATGTACTTTATTCTGGCACTCACAAAAGTAGGCCAACTTATTTGTATTTTAAATCTGAAAGTGCAATAATAGAATCAAATTTATGTATTTATATCTGGCTGAGCAGAATACATTTCAAACAGGGAAGGGGAACAAAACAGTACAAGAAGATAGTTATAACTGTAGTAGGAGAAGCCAGTTTTCTCCTCAGCAGCTGGGAGAAAAAGAGAACATTAAGGGAAGCCCCACCATCAAAGTTGGTACCATCCAATGCCCAGAGCAGATGGACTGGCATGTACAGGAGGAGAAATAACAGGCTGATGGTATGGAGCCAGTCTCTGAAATGAAAACTTTCCACCTACGAGACAGTAAGAGGTCGTTGAGATCATTGCCTAGTCTCCTGAAGGCCTGTGAGTACTCAAAATACTTGTTTTCTCAGGGAGTCATTGGTCTAAGCTGCATCATTTACAGCTATGCAGTTTGCTTCAGAGTAGGAGAGAAAACAGGAAAGGATCCAAGTAATTTAGTACTAAATTGTTGCACAGTGGTGTTTAGTACTAAATTAGTGAACCCAATGGTAAGTTTATAATTACTGTTACACAATTAATAATAATTCAGTAATTTAGAGGTGATTCAGTAATTTAGAGGTTTAATTTAGAGGTTTTTCTTCTTTACTTTCTCTCTCTCTCTGTCACAAGACCTTATTTATTGCGCCAAGGAAGACAAGTTTAGAGAACAATACACTGTTTGTGTCAATATAGATGGCCACATGTATGTGATCTTGCTGATTTATTTGCCTATTCATTTATAAGCTGCCTAAAAAGCTCAGGTTTAATTTTTTTAAAGACTTTTTCCTTGCAGGATTTTCGTATGTCTTTTATTTTAAAGAAACACTTTTAAAGATCATACTTTGACTTTATTCAAAAAAAAAATATATATATATACACATATACATATAATAAATATGTTATATATATATATATATTATATGATACTATATATAATATTTATTTATTTAGATTTATTTTGAATATGACCAAATTAAAATAGCAATCTTTTTCAAGTTAATAAAAATAAACTAAATTATATAGACAGAGTGTGTGAATTTAGAGAGATTTAATCATGTGTTTTTATTATTAGGATTTTTTTCAATATAATTATATATACTGCTAAAGTGTTATGAAGTTTCTGTCATAAACTTGTTCTCTCTTTTTAAAAAAAAAGGAATTCTTTGAAAAGAAGAGACTTAAATCAAAGATGAAGCTTCTGGAAACATCATCTCCTAAAAGTTCAGCAGTCAGTTTAGATCTTCTCAATCTATATGTTGTTAACCAAATATCAACCAAAAAAGACAGCACTGGTGAGTTTAGTATAACAGTGTTCTGACCTCACACTTAACCCAATCAGTTATCATTTATTATTACTACTATTATTTCAGTTCTTTTTCCATTGCATTATAAAAATAAAATAAAATGAAATGTTGAAATTATAAGTAAATATGAAAATAATGACTGAATAAAAAATCAGGGCCAAATTATATTTCCAGGAACCAAAGAACCTGGGCTGCTACCTATTTCACCTTTAAAGCCTTGCACTCTGATGCACCTTCCTCATTCCATTCATTAATTTTACCCTATAACCATTTATTTTTCATTTTGTCATTAAATGGGTCTCCATTTGTATTCCACTGCCTGATTAATAACCTTTTTTCTTTTTTTTTCATTTGGAATAGTCTTTCAGTTCTACCCAGAGAACTGACAGAGAATTTAAAATCTGTTATTAAGATCCTAAAAAAATCCCTAAAATTTAAGTCCTACCTCTTATCCTCTGTAAGATATTCATAGACTAGACTGGGAAGCACTTGCTGTCCTGTGCCTATAAATATTAGGAGGTAACTGAACAGGGCAAAAGAGCCTGTTCATACACCACAGTTGACCATAAATAATTTTATGCTATGCTAACATATAGAATAGAGCTCTTACATTGCTAGTAATAAAGAAAGAAAGAAAAAAAAAAAGGGGGGGGGGGGGGGGGGGGGGAAGAGGCTTTAAATAGATGCCTTTCTCCAAGTCCAGTGCTGACATTATAAATGTTTTCATTACAGTGAACCAGAAGAAGCCAGTTCATATTGATATCACTGGACACTTAAAAGCTCCTGTTAGAAGGTACAATCTCGATCTTCCCAAGTCACCGCTGCATAAACAATATCCAGAAAACTTAGACCTCATCCAGAACAGGTACTTGTATAAAACAGGCAGTAGTTAAGCTACACTGAAGTTCTGAAAAAGGTGTTTCATGATGTACTTTCATCTGCTTTCTAAAAAACTAAAAGGAGTTACCATTGCAGTGCAGTGGAAAATAAACCTGGTAAGGATCTATTTTTTGTGTATTTATTAACATGAATGGAAGGGTGTCACTTTGGAAGCAACTGGATAACTGGGAGAAGAGGTCTAGGCCAGTACTGTAGCACAGGAATATGGAGAGAAAGACTGATCTGAAACTGACCAATCTCCTGAGCATTTGATTAACTGATCTCTTTTAGGCCTATGCTCATGTGTGTCCTGCCTTGAAAAGACTGAAAAAATGTATATTTGGGGTATTAAGTAAGCATAAATATAGTATTCTAAGACAAAGCAGTTTCATGACACCTTCTGACATTCCAGTGATACTCCTATAGTGAGAGAATAAAGAAACATGTAAATTCAAAACATGAAGCTGAGTGATTTAAATATATACATATACATCTTGACTCATGTCAGGTTGTTCATGCGCTAAGTGTATCTCACAGAGCAGAGTATTCAAACAGCATCTTCCACTTAAAGCATTTTTCAATTCATTTCAGACACCCTTATGTGACTGATTCGTGGACTTTATGGTCAAATCTGCTTAAAATCAAGCCCTTTGTAGACATCTGGAAAAATATTGTTAAATTTCTTTGAAATTAATACTCTAGTCAGGATGCTTTTATCTTACAAATCTCATATTTCATGGGCTGTTTTTATTAATTTTACAAGGTTACAAGAGCAAGTATTGGACAGCAGAAGGAAGCATCTCTTAGAGAAGGGAAAATACCAGCATGATGTAAGTTTATTGTTTTCACTGATGTCAAAGTAAAAATATGTACTAATAACTGTATTTTTAAGTGATTTTTTCAGTGATCAAATCTCATGAATACATGTGAAGGCTTCTTCCTTAAGGCTACATTGATATGTTATTTCACAGTCATGTTTTATACTTATTCCTTCTATTTCTCACATATATAATGAAAAGCTCAACTTGTTTTAGGCAATCCAAAAATACCCAGGAATGCTCTAAGTAATGCTCTAACTAGTTGCAAAGGACAGAAATTATGGGAAAGTAACTGAGGCCAAGATTAGGTAAATTAAATACAATATGCATAACATAAATTGATGAAATAGGAGAAGTATATGCAGAAGTGAGTCTTTAAGAGAAACTTATGTACAAGTCTCAGTGGATACAACTGGGAAGTTCACACTCTTATTGAGGTTAAAGTGCATTTTCTATATTAAAATCAGGATTTGTTAATGATAAATTCCAATGCTGCGTTAAAAAAATAATAATAATGTTAGAAGATTTTTGGACTCGATGATCTTGAGGTCTCTTCCAACCTAGAAATTCTGTGAAGATAGTTTAGATTACTCAAGCTTGCTTGATAATATAGCTCCACTGACTCCTGCTGCTTATATCAGAAAGGATTCTGAGCAGAGAGCAATTGCAAAAAAAAATAAAAATTAAAAGCTCACTCAGTACTGTTCCATATCTTCTTTGCCCTTTCATGCTGTCAAGCCATCTTCTGATAGAAAGAGAAAGATAGATGTGTTCCTAGTTCCTCTTGAGTGGGGAAGACTTGCTTAGCAGGGGTGAAAATTTATCCGTCTAATGTGTTTCAATCAAGATCACCATGAGGTGCCACTACCTTTTTGGATATCGCATTAAGTCAGCCTTCTTTTACTACCCCTTTTCTTCTGATGCTTGAAGATATAGAGGCCATATTTCAAATTAAATGTGTTCAGGAATAAGGAATCAAAATAACAGCTAAGTTTCTCCCCAGACACTACCAGAATGAACAGGTTTATATCATTTCATCAAAACACATGCAGTGCACACACAGAAATTAATGTATGGATCAAAGAATAAAGGCTAAATCATGTTTATTGAAATAAAATGTTTTAAAAAGTTTTATGAGGTAAAGTGTATCCCATTAAAATAATTGTGTTATATCTGCTTTATTAGGCAGAAAAAGGGGCCATAATACTCATAATTTAGCTTTCTAGAAACTGGTGGTACATTTTGTGCAGGTTATGTACAAAGCTTTTGCATTGCATTAGTTTCTTGTATAGCTTTCACTGAATAAACTGGATTACAGGCACTGCTTCCATGTAGCCGTGGTTGCAGAAGCATTTAATGATTTTTTTTCTTCAAATTTCTCCTGTGTTTGAGATAGCATCGTTGGTCTCACAACATGCCGGAGTTTTCTTCATACTGGAGTGAAATAATTTTAATTTTCTACTTAAGAACCAATTCAGCAGGTCATTTACCTAAAGCTAAAACTGTATTTATACCCATCTCCCCTCAGGATAACATTTGTGTGCATGTTTCAACTTCAGTAGGTACTTAAGCGGTTTCCTAAAATAAACACTTACTACTTTATGTTTTTAATTAAAAATCATATCAGAATACATGATTTTTTTGTCTTTTTTTTTTTTTATGTGGAAAGAGATGTAAAAGATATAGAAAGGTTTGATCTTTTTGAATTTTATGCTTAGATCAAAATAGGCTTAAATAAATTAAATCTCTTTGCTATCTTTTGTCTAGTTACCACAAGTAACAGAACTATCTTATGCTGACTCTGGTATGGAACATGAAGACAGCACAGCAACAGCTTTTAGCACCTGTCCATTGTCCCCTTCTGTTTTTTGGTCCTCCAACTGTGCACAGTTTTCAGAAGAAAATTTCAATACAAACCTAATGGGCAACCCTTGGGAAGAGACCTATGAAGATAAGCAGCAAAACCAGGTTTGATTAATATTTTTCATTTCCTCAGAATTATTTTAAAATAAATTTCACTTCTTTGGGGTATAGAATTAGTGTAATGTTGAAGCTAGTTACGAACAAGCAACATTTCTTGTAGGCTAGTGGCAATGGTTATTCTGTGTATACATTTCTGTGTATATATTTCTTCTAGTGGTGTGAAACAGCCTCAATTTGAGCCTATATTTGCTGAACTCTCGGTGTTGCTGATATCTGCAGGAAGGAAGTTAGCCACATATTGTGGCTGACTTTCGTTTCTGGCTTGTAAAATTGCTTGAAGAAACCTGAAGAATATTACAGTTATAAATACAGCTTTCTTGAATGTACCGTTAGTATAAATGGGCGTCATATGATCACAGGTGATCCCATGGCCTAAGGAAACAAGAACTTCTATAGCTCTGTCATCAGCAAAAGAAAACCAAAGAAAATGCTGTCCACTGCTAAACAGAATCGATGACCTACTGACAAAGGACGTGGAGAAGTCTGAGGCAATCAAGACCTACTTTGCTTCAGTCTTTTCTGGCAAGGTCTGCTCTCTGGCACGTTTTCAAGCCCAGAGTTGGAGAGAGACATACAAAACAGCAGTGAAGCAACAGGTTAAGGAATCCTTAGTAAACTGGACACAAACAAATGCCTGGGACTGGACAAGGTGCATCTAAGTATATTAAGGGAGATAGCTGACATCACTGCAGGGCAGATGCCTGTTATCTCTGAAAGACTGTGGTGATCAGGACAGCTTCTCAGCGGTAAGAAATACACAAAAGTTATGCCCATGTGCAAAGACGACAAGCACAATCCAGGAAAGTTCTAGATCTTCAGCTCACCTCTGTCCCTCACCTGTTACAGAACCAGAACTCCTGGAGGTCATTTCAAGTTGCATGAAGAACAAGAAGGTGACTGAGAACAGCCAGCATACATTTCCCTTGGCCATGCTGTGCCTGACAAATCTGATTAACTTCTCTGATGAAATGACTAGCTCTATGGATAAGGGTCACCAGTGAATATTACTTACTTTGACTTTAGGAAGGCTTTTGACAAAGTTTACCTTGTGGGATCCTTGTAGCAAAAGTGGGGAGGTATCAGCCAGAGGAGTGGATGATAAGTTGGGTAAAAAACTGCCTGTACCATCATGCTCAAAATAATTGTAAAGACAATTATTTTATGTCTAGTTGGCAACTGGCAGGGATGCCCAGGATTTAATAGCAAGTCTGATATATCTTCATCAGCAATTTGGATAATGGGACAGAATGCACCCTCAGCATCTCAGCGGGTTCATAAATGCCACCGAATTGACAGAGTGGTCATTACAGCTGGAGGGCTGCTGCTCAGAGGGATCTTGACTTGCAGAAGGCCAAAAGAGACTTCAAAAAGTTCAACACAGACAAACAGAATTTCCTGAACCTCAAAAGAAATAACCCCACACATCTGTGTGGGTGGGGGACTGACTGAGTAGGCAGCAGCTTTGAAGAGAAAGACCTGAGAGCGACTGAGCAAAGAGGGTTTGTATAGCTTAGGAAAGAGAAAGCTATAAGGGGATGAGGTAGGAAATCAGACTCTGTCTTCCAGAATCTAAATAGAGTTACAGACAGGACAGAGTAAGAGGTGCACAGTGAAATGACAAGAAATAAAAGTCACAGGTTTAAACAATGGAAATTCTGTTTCTATAGTAAAAAATGTCACAAAAATAGCTGAACACCAAAATAGGTTATCTAAGGAGGCTGTGGAGTCTCAATCCTGAACAATCCTGAGCAATCTGGACTAGCCTTGAAGCTGTCCCTGCTTTGAACAGAAGGTTGGATTAGATATCTCTTGAGATCCCATCCACACAACAGCATTCCGTGATTCTGTGACCTTTGGTGGAATGTCAGCTTTTCCCAGTCTATCCAGCTTGTCAATATTATGGGAGCATGGGATGCTTAAAAGAGCATTTTGCATGCTAGCAGTGACATGTGAACATGGAAAAGTATGAACTGTATGGAACTCAGTTGGGCTGTAATGTTTTGGCCTTTACTGTGAAGATAAAAAGGAGTAAAAACAGTTGGAAATCAGGTGTATTGTTTGCAAACCCAACTTTAAAGTTTAAAATGCTATAACTATTCTATAAATTCAGAGTTTGACAGTTTTGATCATTTTCTCAGCCAGGAATTATTTCGGATCAAGACCCTTGGCTTTCAAAACACCTGAGCCAGTGTATTTTAAGGAAGTCTGATACAGTGCCTCCGGAGCTGTTTGAGCCAGTGCACAGGTAGGCAGTGATCCGATATTAGAGAGAGCAAAAATCACAGTGAGGTAAGTAAGGGCAATACCTGAAACTTATTGTTACTTGATTTTTCACATATTTTTAGTGCTTTTAAAATAGAAAGTAAAATTAAATGAGAAGACTGAACATACAAAGCTGTTTAGATTTGCAGAGAGGCAGCAAACTGTGATTTTGGTAGGTTCTTGGAACCACGGTCTAATTTTTGCAATGTTGTAAACAGAATGGTATTTCCCAATTCATCCAGAAGCATGGATTCACTGACAGGCCAAGGAGAGGGGAGCAGCTGCCACTCTCATTAGTTCTGGGCACTGTTGCAAGCGCTTTTCTGATGACCTTGATGTTGTAGCAATTGAGCAACTTCTCCACCTCCACTGTTTGTATTTGGGATTCCAGGAGCAAAAAGATTTACTCCCCTTCTCTTTCATATGTGATTCTACTATAGCTAGAATATAGAATTGATTCATAAATACTTTAATGAGAAACATAGTTTGTTTCTAAAAGAATAGACAGAAATCTAGAATTGCTTTCTCTTTACATTTGCTGATTAAAAATCTTTTAATCACAGAGGGTTTAGGGCCAGAGTCATTGGTACTGAACAGTTTATTTCACTGAACAGTTTCTTTCTAGGCGTTATTTCTTTCTATCTAGGCATCTCACAAGGCTAATTTTCTTTTATTCTTTCTATTCAGTAAGTCTGCTGTCTGATTGAAAGTTCATATCAGTCTCTGGAGAGAGCCATAAAAAGACCAGACACAACTCTGCAGTTCCTGAAGTATCTGCACTCTCTTTGCCTGGGGGGTCAAGGCGCTGGGTAGCCCACTGACCACAATACCTTGATGGACACAGCAGTTTCCAGTCTTAACCACCCTAACTTTCTCACTTTTCCTAGCTCCTCCTAGCTTTCTCCAGCAAAACCTAAAGTTAGGATAATGCTCACCTTGCTGTATGTCTTGGTGACTTCCTGATGAATACCTTGATGTTAAAGCCCTACATAATCTTACATTGCCTACATCTCCCTTTTCGTTTCTCCACAGGCCCTCAGGTCTGCACTCTCCTCAGTCACAGAACCTCTCACAGTCCTCCACCCACTCATGGCTCACTGACAATGTGAGATCTCCTTTCCAACAGTTCTTCAACTCCATTTCCGTGTGCTTTCCTTGTGTGTGTGTTTTTGTTTTGTTTTGTTTTGCTTTGCTTTGCTTTTCACCCATTATATCAATAAATTCCTTTACCTTAGTAGCTGTCAGCTCTCCTGGGAAGGACGTATCTTTCACAGTATGTGAAAAGCATCAACTTAAACAAGCATTTAACATAATTGTAGCATACTGCTGATGGAATAGATGTGCACACATCTGAGAGCTGTGACCCCTCAAGTTCATTAAATATTAACTAAAAATTGTAGGTGTCTTGTAAAAATAAGTCTTTCACTCTGAGTAGTGCTTAGCCATCTCCTCATCTACTATTATCTTTTAGTTAGTATTACAAAATGTTCAGCTGGAATTGCTCCACAAAATGTTTTTACCTTCCTCAGTTGTATCCAACCTTCTGTAGATACAAACTGTGTTATGTTTAGTCTTTTACAACTGATTCATGGGCACTTTCTCCCTTAAGTTCTCTAGGATCTTTTTCCAGTTCCAAGTATTTTCTGATGAAGACATTACAGAACTTTTCTTTAATAAATTTTTACTTTACCACATTTCAATTTTCAAGTTCCACTGATAGCATTGTCTTTTTATGATCATTTTTGTTTTATTTTAATAAAAGGCATGTTTTGAATGTCCATGGCCATTTCTGCTAATTCTCTGCATATATAAATCTCTTAACTCTTCACTCAGATTTTCTGAAATGTCAGGCAAGAAATCAAACCTAGAAAGAAGTGGCAAAATATTAAATTAATATCCTAATAAGTGAAAGCATGATAGCTTTCACGCTAATGATAAACATGATAGCATCCTTCAAAACCACTACTACCAGAAGTGGGGGAGGGAAGTATGGGCAAAACAAAATGTCTGACTGGCCTCCTGACTGTAGAGTAGAAAACCTCCGAGCTTAATTAGGATTACAGACCTCAATTACAAAAAAAAAAAAAAAGTTGTCTTGCTGAAGAGACCAGGAATTAAGCAATGCTCAGATCTTGTAATGGGCTTTCAGTGCAAGAGTGAACTGTAGCCTTGAAGAATAAACTTTTTAAGAACTGAAGAAGCTGTCTACCTCTTCTTTTTCTTCCTTTTTTCTTTTTTTTTTTTTTTTTTTTATAATTCAGAGTGGACTTCTTTGGTCAGTTGAGTGGAGCAGCAGTGACATACTGTGGCTGATTTTATAAATCACAGTTTCCTTCTCAAGGATATTCTCCATGTCTTGGCACGTTTGGAGATAACATAAAACAGAACTCTGTTTAAATCAGCCTTACTTTAACATGGAAATAAAATACAGGCACTCTTTCAGTGGAAATAACATACACTCAGGACAGAAGCAAGTGTGTTGAGAAGCAAAGTCTGAAATTTTTTTATTAAGTTGATCATTTGGAGTGTTAGCAGTTAGCATTTTGCTGATTTATATACTACACAAACTGTTTTTTTTTTTTAATTCCCTTCCCCCAAAGGCTGGACTATATGAATTCTGCCAGGAAAAATCCGGTGATAATGACCAGTAAAGAATCAGAAAACAGTGAAGGAATAAAAGAACCATTGTTTGGTGTCGTGAAAGAAACCACAGAACTGAAAGCTCCCCAGCATGAAAGTGATTGTCCCTTTCTGGCACTGTTTGAAGATGAGAGCCAGTCAATCCATAATATTTCTTCCACAAGGCATTTTAATCCTTTTGTTAACCAAAGCAGTACTCCCAATTTTTTCATTGATCTTGAAGACAGAAATCAAATGACCAACAGAGATTATCCTTACGATACTGGAGAAGCTCATCCTGCAATTAAAGCCCAAAACAAATCCGTAGACAGACACCTGAAAGGCATTTTCACAGCTCCAGAACAGGTTTTGTGTAAAAATAACAATGCATCACTTGCAAGCTACCAGAAGGGCAGATTTCATAAAACCCACCTGCAGGACTGTCATGAGGGACAGCACTACTTCGTACCATCTGGAAACAAAGAAAAGCCTTCGATATTTGAAAAAAGTGGTGAGTGTCAGCATTTTAGGGTCATATGTTCTATGTTTTATTCTTTTAGACACAGTTGTGTTTTTTTTTAATATATATATATATATGTAGGTGTGTCTGCTCTGACCTAAACCAGGTTATGAATCTTTGTGGTGCAGCAGTTTAATTTTAAATCAATTACTTTTAGAAACTGACAGTAGATATTTTCAAATTGTATTTATGCTCCTGCATTTTTAAAACAAGATTTATTTTTGATTTTAGAGACATTTGCTTATTATCATGATCAGCAGACTAACTTAAAGGAAAATGTGCAGAACTATTCACTAAACAAAAGGTGAGTGCAGTAAAAATAGTCCATCTATTAACTAGTGACAACTGCAGACACCTTGCTGAATTGCAGAAACCCTGGCTAAGAGGACCTGAAGGCAAAATTCTAGACAATATTACTGAAGGCCTATTCCAGTGAAAATAATAGTGAGTAATGTGAATAAACTTACGTGCACGCAAGCCCTTTGTACATCTGTCTGTAATAACTAAAGAGGAAGATTCCCTGCAGTCAAACTGTTGTTGTGATTTTGTTCTCTAAAAGACCTTGTCTCCTTTCACTGACTACAAAGGAAATTAGTGTCTTCCCTGTGCCAAAGTTAACACATGTGAGTGCCCTGCTTTCTTCATCAAGATAGTTTTGTCACAGACAGATACATAACAAAGCAGTGCTGTCTTCAGTCATCTCATAATAAATTTTGGATTGTAACAAAAGTGAAATTTGTTAAAAAACAAAAACAAAACAAACAAACAAACAAACCAAAACAAACTAACCCGAAACAAAAAAACTTGGCGTAAAAACTCAGGTTCATAACTTAATTGAATTATCTCAGTAGTGGGAAACATTTCATGATTACCAAAGACAAAACAAAAATCGAATGCAAAAAAGTCAGCAGTAGTGACTTTATTTCAGAAAACAATTAAAACTATGGGGGAAATCACTTTTCAGAGAACTCATGTTTGCATCCCTCAGAGATGAGCCTGTGAAAGAAGCAGTCTGGAAACAGAATCAGCTCTTTGGATTTGAAGAGGTAACTTTTCAAAGATTTTTTTTTTTTTTTGGTGTTACCTACTACTGAAGTGCTTGCACCATTCATTTGGGGTGAAGAAGGAATACCCACAGCAGTTAGAAACTGAAGTTAGCTTCTCTGAATTAATTTATTTGGAATCTTCTTGCTTTATACGAGGAATCCAGAAAGAACAGCTTCCAGTTAAGTGGTTCAGCCAGTCCTTTCAGGTCCCTAATTTACATGGTTTGATTCACCCCTAAGCTGATGCCTGAAATGCATTATAGAAGTTACTCTTTACCCTAAGGTCTGATTCCATGGCAGGGTACAGAGGTTATAAGCAGGATACTCCAGTATTATACTGGAGCCCTATGCCATCATACATATAAAATCTGTAGATATTTTGCCTGTAGCAGTCACTCAGGTGGGTATGGTGTTGCTCAGGGGTTTTGTACCCCTTAGCATAATTTGCAGGGAGTCCTTTATGTAATAGAGAAACAGAAGGTTCCTCACCTAACCTGAGGTACTGAACCAACTGAGCCCTCGCTATTAATGCCTGTTTTCAAAAGTTTGCAACAGCACAAGAGGAAGAATGTAAGTTGGGAGTGAGTTCAAACCTTCACAAGAAGAAGAAAGGTTAGTACCATTTATATATTATTAAGTCAAAAATCAAAATTTTCTCTATATATGAAACTGAAACTTACTTTTAAAGCCAGGGAGAAGTGTTTTCATCTTTGTAGCGGTTTCATTTGATGTAGGTTCCTATTTTTGATTCATGCAGCACTGTATAGAGACCATTACCAGGTAACTAAGTATTAGCTTTTTCAAGAGAGAAATTCAGATTGCCTTCTTTCTGGTGAGTATTAGCCACGTATTTTTCATTGTCCCATATCCTCCAAATTTGTCCCCTAAACTGAAAAGCCAGCTCTGAAAGTAGGGTTAGCTTCAAAATAGATAAATAAATTCATGAGAGAGGTCAGGTGTGTTGAGCTGAACATCACAACTCCAGAAACATCACCATCTTGTAACAGGGCCAAGTAAATGCCAAACATTGTCTTCCTTTCTATTCCTGCAGATCTCCACTGGTGGGAAAAAAAAAAATCTTGGACAAATCTTTTATATTATTTAATAAGCTCATGAAAATTTTCTTGTTTCATTTTACTAGTCTAGTCTTTACCAAACTTTATTCTCTTTCACCAGACTACGCTGTGCAGTTCAACATGTGCACGGGGTGAGGGGAGTCAGCAGAGAGATCCCCCATCCTTTCTGCTCCCTCAGTAGCTGTATGGGTCAGCCGTGCTGGCTGTATTTCAGAGCAGAAGACCTCTCAGGGTCCTCTGAGCAAAAAACATGAGCATAAGCCCACATAACTTGTATGGTAGCCAATGTCTGCAAGGTTTCTGCTGTATTCAATCCATTCCCCTGCCCTGAAGAACCCCTCCTCTTGGGTAGCACAAGGCTGCTGCCAGTGCAGATTAGCAGCTTAGCTTTAGCTTTGGGCCACCCGCCTCACACATTCTGCTGTGATGTGCTGTCTCGAGAGAAGGAGAATTGACTCTCTCCATATCCCAGACTGACCTTGCTAGCATGTTTTTCCTGAAACGGTATCTTAAAGCTGCTTCAGAAGTAGTAGTTATGCTTAATTCTGCATTCTGTGCTTGGGAGTTGGATGTTTGGGGAATATTTCGTGAGTAAATGCTTAATTCTGCATTCTGTGCTTGGGAGTTGGATGTTTGGGGAATATTTCGTGAGTAACTTTTCTTTGTGTTTGAGCTCAAATTTCAGATGTGGAGTCACCACTCAGCAGCCCCTCACCCAGCTACTCACCAAGACAGACAGAAAGCTGTTTCAGCTCTAGTCCTGACATGGTGAGCGCTGCTCCCTGATGAGTTTACAGGGGCTCATTTGAATGACATCTGTATGTCTGTGCACATCTAAGGGTGGTTGCAGCTGGAATCTTATTTATGGTTTTGTTTTGTACAAGGCAACCTCATATGTGAGCAAAACAAGAAATGATTAGATGTAAATTTTCCTAAGCAGTTAAACAGCCCCATGGTCTGGTCTCTTGACAATACAGAGCCTAGTGGAATTACAATAACACAACTGTGGAAAGATGCAAAGCAAGCTTCTCCTTTCTTCCTTGGGGTGTTGCTGCCTTACTTTAAGTGCCAGGAAGGGAGGAGGATTTGACACTGTGTGTGTTTTCAGCCAGTACTAAACAAAAAAGGCCATAATATATAAATAAAAAAATATGTATGACAGGAAAGATCCACCTTACCCACCTTCTTTCCAACATAAGCCAGGAGCACGCTCCTGCAGGAAGAGCACAAAAATCCAACAGACACTTCTGGCCTTTCAGTTTATTTCATAATGTAATTGGGGGATGATTGTTGACTTAGTTATGGAACTGCTTTAACAGTTACTCACACAGTTCTGTTCATGCAGTCTGAAAAGGAAGACACAGCCAAGAAGAAGTATGTGGACAAACGGTGTTACCAGACAGGCAATGCCAACACCTCCGGCTCAGCAAGCCCCAAGGCCCCTCACAGTGGACCTGAGCCTCTCCAGCACTGCAGGAGTTTGACCAGGGTGGAAGACAACTATCTTCAGCAGAAACACACTACTTCACATGCCACAGAGGAGGCAAATAAAGACCAGGCTGCCCCAGGTGAGGGCAGCTCCTTACACCAAACCCGTAAAAAAGAGCACGTCAGTGCCAGTACGAGGCGTGATGGTTGGTCACAGACTGAAAGCTGTGCCCCAGAAGCAGGGAGGGTGGATGTTGCCACCCAGTGTGACACCATGCGGGTGTGCAGCTGTGGGAGCTCCCTCCTGTCTGCCCGCAGCCCCGAGGGGCTCCCTCCTCCCGGCACCACTGGAGGGCACAAAATGCCAGAGCATGAGGCAATGCAGCCTGCAGGCACAGGCAGCGCAGCAGGAAAGGCAGCGTTTTCTTCTGAAGCCGAGTATCTGAGTTTGGCAGACAAAACAACTCTAGAGGTTCTGAACTACATCGATGTCATGAAGGAGAGAGAAAAGCAGTGAGCAAATAGAATGGCCTGTAAGGGATACTGAAATAATACTTCGAAGTTTTGTCTTGTTCTAAGTAGGTTTAATTTAATTGTCATATCTTGATTTGTCTAGCCTGGCTAGACAAAATATTGTTGTTATAACTTATTGTTGTTACTTATACATTATTACTTACTTTGGATCTCTATCTACCTTCTCCAACTATGGATTTCTGTAAACCTCTGACTGTTAACAACGATTTTACAACAGCTTATTGAACATAAACCTTAGGAACTAGATTTGCTTCCCCACCATATACCTGTAGGATTGTGTGTTTTGAGGATGATTTTGCTTCTCAGGAAGGTAGTGGAGAGATTCAATTTCACTTCAAGACACATTTGATGTGACTCTTAGTTCAGAACTACTGTCTGATTTTTACCCATTTTAACAGGCAAACTAGCCTTTGCCCTATGTTTGTACTAAATATGAAAATGAAAACATAAAAGTGACACAGAAAATGCAGATCTGCACACATAAAATAAAAGGTACTTTTAAAGGAACTAATTTATTATTTTTTAACAAAACAAACAACAACAACAAACCCAAATGCTTAAACTTCCTTCCACAGCAGTCTATTGATTAGTCTCTGTTAATACTGTTAATACTGACTGTTAATACTGACAAATCTTTTATGTGTTTCTGCGTTTTGCCAGCAGGTTGAAAATATGAAATGATTCTTTTTCCTTATTACAGTATTCGTTTGAAGCTACAAATAACAAATAAAGTTTCCTGATAATATTGTTTCTAGGCTATATTCTTTCCATTTAAAATAGTTCCTAGTAAAGATGACTCACTGTGTTGTGGACACCTTCTGCTTATATTTCCATACATCCTTCCATAAATGCATGTAAGCTATGTTTCAGGCTAGTCCTTACACACTGCAGGTCAGTTTCTTTTATTTCTACTTTTTGTAATGAAAGGTCTTGTGGATGTCGGGATGTGTATCATCCAGCACCGAAGAGATCCTTCACCATTCTTTGTCTCAGTTCTCATCATCAAACTAACGGCTGTGTTTTCTGCCGGGTTTTATATTTGAAACCAAAAGGCAGTCTACACTGCTGAACAGTTTGCAGGTTTATAGCTACACCATGTTAAAAATAGCATCTCTCGGAAATGTCAGTGGACTTTTCTTCACTTTGAAGAAAATAGCATTGTCTTTTGTACATAAAAATTGCATACACAGGAAGTGGCTTCACAGCCGGACTTCTGAAATGTGGAACTATCATTTAGCCAATTCACCGCCCACTTCCTAAGGCTTGACATAAGCGGATTTTCTTTTTTAGGTTGCCTCAATTTATTGTCAAAGCAAGCTCCCTAGTCATTTCTTTAGCTGAAACTGCAATGATCATCTTCTTCACAGGGGGTATAATTTATCTGAATAATGCTCGTGATTTGCTGAAAGCTCAGCAGTTACCAGTATTTTGTGAGGCGCAGTTGTTCACTCAGCGTTATGAAACTTGCTCAAACTGTGCCACACGAGCCTGATGGCTGGAATTAGGACATTTCCAAGGCAAGCATTGTCCCAGCTACACCCTGTACATCACCTGGCTGAGTCTTGCAGTGAGTGAAGCTACCGCAATTCGGGCAGATATATATGCTCTGCAGGGCGAGGCAGATTCCCAGTCTGTTCCAGTGAACCTAGTGGGCAAAGAGGGCAGGTCTGAACTGGGACAGGAGGACTGGTAGCACTGCATGGACCAGTGCAGGTGTTTCAAAGGAAGCAACACCTCCTTAGTAAGTTACTTCTCACATCTCACACAATTTAAAGCCTCTTACTGGCTGTAGCTTATTTTCTCCACTGCACTGACGCCACCGTAGAGAAGCTTTTAAAATCAGCCAGGTCTCAGGCTGGATTGCACCATTTCCCAGTAAGGGCTGAAAATATGCAGCTTGGAGCCAGACACAAATTTTCTGACTGCATGCAAGAGTTGCACACTTCTCTCTAACATGGTAATGCAGCACTTGGGTTATGTCAATCAAAGCAGACCATCATGTTCCAAAGTCTTTGGCTGAGAGCCTATAAAATCCAATTGCTTTGCAATTTTTACCTGTGATTACAAACCAACCGCAAGGATAAAAACTATCTCTGTAGCGGTATGTGTGCTGGCGATGATGATAAATAAACCAGCATGTTCTTTTAAGCCACTGGAGGAGTATTTTAAAGTATTTATGTGACTGTTATTGCATTAGAAGAGAACCATGCCTCCTCCTTATCTCAGTGTCAGTCTCCCACTGCGCTCAGGAGCTTTCTTTCACCTCTGATTTCTTGTGACTTTTGGAAAGAGCTGAGCTCGGTTTGGCAGGAGTCTCCTCTGTCTGGAGTGGCAGCCTCCAATCCTGATTCCTTCAGGTGACATTTGAGCAGTTGGTGCTATTTAGCCACCAGTACTATGACCATCACCCATCACACACATCCCGTCACCACAAGCTTTCTCTGAGGCAAGGACAGACACAGAGCTGCTCCTTTTTCATCCATAGTAACCTTCCTAGAAGAGTGATGAGCCTCTGGGGAGGCCACAGGAACGTACGTTGTTTAACTGCATTCAGTGAGAATCAATTACAAAATGAGTTTTGCTGGGAAAAAGGACAGAAGTGTACCTGTAATTAACCAAAATTAATTTGTTAATTTGTTGTATTGGTGCTTGAATATTTACAAATAAATATGGATGGAAAGACGGCTTCTCTTACTGAAAATACTACCCCAAGCTTCAGTCCCAAGCAATTTTGATGTGCAGCTGGTAACCTGTTTTTCCTATCAAACCAACTCTAATTACAGTAGCGTGCAAGGTAAGGATTCAGACAAAGTTTTCTGGGTAAATGCCACCAGGACCTTCATTGTGTTCCTCAGGCAGTGTGTAGCTGGGCATTGTTATGCCAACAGCCTCTACGAACTTTGTAGAAATCCTGATTTCATTTTTGTGAAGGATTATCATTGTGAGAAATGAGAAGCTTAAAGTCTTCATACAAGTGATTATTTCTCAGGTGGAAAGTGTTTGTGAATTGGCTTTTTAAGGGTTTTAGCAGAGAGCTGATTTAGGAAGAATGAGGTTTCCTGGAAAAAGCATTAACTCTCTGCATCCAAATCCTCCTCCGTCCCCAACAAATCAAATGGCATTTCTGCTACCGTCCGCTGACAGGTTGGAGGTGAGAGTCTGAGTCAGAGCTGGCTTCTCCAGGGCTGGTGATGCTGAGCTCCAGAAAGGTCGCACGACTCTGTGAGCCAAGAACCATCCTCCCTCCCTCTCACCTAGCCACAGCAGCCTACGGGGAGCTCAGGTGCAGCACCCAGATGGCTGCAGAGGTGCTGATATATCAGGTGAGTGCAAGGGGATGGGGAATGCTGCTCCAGAAGACATCAGAGAAGGTAAGGCAGGAGGCTGCAAGGGTGCTGTTGTACTATTTGAGGGTCAGATTAAAACATTTCCAAACCAGCTGTGGTTGTGCGAGCTCACTCAAGCCCTGCTCGGATCAGGGCCAGCTGGAGTTGAGCTTTGGGCTGCAGCGGCTGCGATCACCAGGCACCCAGGGAGGAATAAACCACAGCAATGCCCTCAGCACTTCCCTGTGGCTCCCACCCACCATAACGTAACGTGACATATGGAGAGCATTTCAAAGCTGTCCCATCCACTGCCAGGCTGGGGGTGGCAGTCATCCTCCACCCAGCTTATGAAAACTTTGCTTGCCCTTAATTCCTTCCCACCACTCTTAGCCTTGGTCCCTGCCTGTGAGAGGAATGCTGCAGGGATGCCGGTGCCAGCCCAACTCTGCAGCCACCTCCCCCTGCCCCAAAGGTACCCCAAAGGCCACAGGACAGTGCAGAAGAAGCCGTGTGGCATCAGAGAGTGGCTCTGGCTGCAGCCATGTCTTGTGGCAGCCTGGGAACGGGGCACGCTGTCACATCAGACATCCTGGACAAAACAGCACAGCAGTCAGATGGGGGTTGATGCCATCCCACCGTGAGAAGATTAAACCAAGCACCAATTTAGCAGCAAGGCTTACTCCAGCGCATCACTTCCCAGCAGGGATGAGGCCACCCGCTGCCAGCCACTTTGGGGATGGAGAAGTCATCTTGTGTTAGCAGGGTGACACGTTGCGGGGCTGACAAGGAACCTCCTCTTCTGTTGTGATGTCGAGCGAGTGGCAATATGGAAAAAGGCTACAAGCAAATGATAATGCTTGGCTCCATTTAAACAAAATGCACCAAAACACACTCACTGCTGTGCAGGAGGATGGCTGGAGGTGCTGGCAGGGCTGGCACGGGGTGCTGAGGGCTCTCCCTGTCCCGGTGCAAAGGGGAAGCCGGGGGCAATCTTCTGTGTGTGTGTGGCTGTGGGAGATTAAGCACTGAACAAATGCTGCCGTGCCCAAAAAATGTCATAAAAAAAAATAAAAATGGAGAAGAACAAGCTTATGAAAATCTGAAGTTTAGATAAAAACACACAGTACAGAGAGATTTAGCCTGTTCAATCTGTTTATCGGAAGGAGATTGAAAAGGAAACCTGATTACTGCATGGAGGAGGCAGCACAAGAAGCTAATGCAGGCATTGCAAGGCTCCGATGCTGTCGACCTGCCCCTCCTGGGCTCTGGCAAACCTCTGTGTGCTGTGGTGTGGTGGCAGCTGCACCCCAGCCCCACGCTGCCCTGTCCCTGCCGTCCCTACAGCCTGAGAGCTGGGGGCTGTGATGGAGGAAGAAGGGGGGAGCCACATATTCTCCATGGCACCGTGTCCCCGTGCTGTCACACCCCCGGCCTTCCCTTGTAGCCCACACCCCGCTTCCTTCCCCACCTGCTTCCCTCCTCCAGCCCCTGTTTGGGATCTGCTCTTTCCACCCTCGTTTCCTCGGCAACCTGAGCCGGTCTCAGTTTCACATCAGGGCTTCATCTCCACTAACCCAGCCCCTTCAGCCTGCTCCTGCACCTCCAGCCCTGATGGGCCCCGAAACGCTCCTCACTCCCTCAGACATAGACCTCCCCGACCCAAATTTCCACCGGGGACAGGCTCGTGGCTCAGCGCTTTGCTGGAAGGGGGCATTTATTTGTCCTTCTCACACCTGAATTCCCCGGGGGCAGGAAAAGCCTCACCCCGCTGTGGGGGCAGCCACCTGGCCCTGTTCTCGTGGTGACAAAACGCACCCCGCATGGTGCTGGTCTGAACGCGTGACAGGGCCGCTGAATGCAGGCCTTCTTTCTCCATGCCTACCCTGCACATCTTACAGAGCCGCATGAGATGCCCTGCTTTGATTTTTCAGTGTTATGGATTCTGTTAGCACTTCCAGGGGGTATCAAAGTCCCCCAGATCAGTGTGTTAGCTAAGGCAAAGGGCTCACTTGTGTGCCAAGCAAATGGCTGCTTGTATCCTCCTGAAACCCAGATCCAAATGTGTCCTAAAAAAACAACTAACCAAACCAAATCCTGACCTCTGGAGCCCTCTCATCCCTACCGTGGGGAGCCCTTGGGGGACTGTGGGACAGCAGGAGGGATGGTGCTAGGGGTCAATCACCAAGATCTCTCTCCAAACAGCTCAGCGCCACTGCACTGGCCACCACCACGATCAGCAAGGCAGGGTTGTTATGTTTCACCCTGCCTTTAATTCCTGCTGGTGCTTCCCCCCACCTGCAGCAGCCCCAAAGCAGGCCCATGGTGCCAGGCCCACAGCAAAGGCCGCACAGCACCCAGGGGGTGGCCTTGGTGCAGATGTGGCAGCACCCAGCTGTGATGTCGGGGGGGCATATCCTAAAAAGCTTGCAAAGATTTGAGAGAAGTGCTGCTGGATGCAGATCAGCCCAGAATCATGTCAGCAGAAATAGATCTATCAGTAATTGCTTTGTGAGAGTAGCCAGCATGGAGGAAGTCAAAACCAGAGTGTGTGACAGC